GCCTGGTGACAAAACCTCAAATTCTCAATGAAGTGACCTTGATCATCTCTTTAAAAATATACACATAGGCCACTCCTCACCACCCTTCCAGTGCTTTCACTGCATTTTCTTTTTCTTGCTATGGAGTTCAGGCTGGTCTTTAACTCTGCAGCCCAGGCTGGCCTCGAACTCAAGGCGATCCTCCTGCTTCAGCCCACTGAATGCTGGGATTACATGTATGAGCCACCACACCCAGCTACCCTTGCTGTCTGTGCTTTCTCTCCTATGATACTCCACCCTCTGACATCCCATATCACTGACACATTGAAGCTCTTTTTTTCTTCCGTCCTCCCTCCCTCCTCCCTCTTTATTTTCTCCTCCTCCTCCTTCCCCTCTCTGACTCACTCTCTCTCTCTCTCTCTCTCTCTCTCTCTCTCTCAGGCCTACCCACTGAGCCTCATCTGCAGCCTTCATCCCATTTTATTTATATTGAGGCTGGGCTCAAACTTGCCATCTTCCTGCTTCAGCCTAGCAGAGTGCTAAGATTACAGGCATGAGCCACCACGCCCTGCTGAGTCATTTTATTTATTATGGATGTGGTTTTCCTTTGTGTCTCTCAGCCCGAGAATGGCATCGTGTGAGCAGGAATGTGACCGTGTTGTTTACTAATGCACGATCTATAGGCTGACTCTTCTCTCTGGTCCCCAACAAGATAAGGAAAGAAACTCAGTGATCTCATGTGGAGTAAGAAGTTTAGAAAAGTTGAAGTCAATTTGATACTGGCACAGCATCCAAGTGCATGATTGTTTTTATAGTAATTTGTTTTTATTATAGTTTACAAAAATATCAAACTGTGCAAGTTGGAAAACAATTAACAAGAAAAAAAAAAACTGGTTTTACAAAACAATTTGAAAAGTACTGGCCCAGGATAGTTTCTAGCACTTAGTAATAGTTCATAATTATTTTTTAATAAATAAAAAGAAGAACAAATGCCTAACAAATAGATGTTCATATAGTAAAATCTAGGATGAAGCCTATATACATTCCTGTCCTCTTATTAAATTATTTACTGGATGGATCAGTGGCCGAGTGGCCCCCATTATGCTGTGTTTCTCTCTGTATGACCAATGAATCAGTGCACGTGGGTCACCTGGGGACACTTCTGACCTGGCTGTCACGTCCGAGTCCCATGAGTATACTCTTCTGCATGGCTGCTCTGAGCAGAGCTTGCACGTGGAAGCTTTAGATCGATTCCCAGCCCATCTCCCATCCAGGGTCCTTTGAGAATAGTGAAATTAGTCTCAGTGCAAGCTAGGCAGCAAACCTATAGGCAGTTGGTGTGCGTTTTCTTTGTAAAGGTCACGGCCGCTATGGTGGTGCACACCTGTAATCCCAGTACTCAGGAGGCTGAGGCAGGAAAATCACCACCAGTTCGAGGCTAACCTGGGCTACACAGTGAGTTCAAGCCCAACCTGAACTACATAGCAAGAGCTTCAACATACAAACATACCTACAAGCATACCTACATATATGCATCACATTGCTTTCCTTTGGCCTATGACAAAAAACAATGAAGTAATGGATCATTTAAGGCAAATAATTAAGCACACGGGTAACAATGTGCTAAAATGTCTCTAGAAGACACTCTCTTGTTTTTGGAACTGATGATATAAACAAAATAAAATTTTTTGACAATTCATATTTGTTGCTTTCTAAGATCAAGGGAAATTTGACTCATATATAATGTTTTTTTCTGCCTAAACTTTCTTCCCTTCCCTTTCTGCCCAAAACATCAACAACAAAATGAAACAGCTTGGAGTATCCTAATTTGTTTAACTTGTACATGACATCTATTTAGGGGTGACTAAGAGACCATTTTGTTCTAGGATTATTAAAAATACATTTAAAATTTTCTCTGACTTGCTTACTCAGAGTCTCACTCCATTCTTGATTCAATTATATTTCATCACAGCTTCGGATGCTCAAGAATTCAAAAACCTAAGCCTGGGGCGATATGTAGCTCAGTGGTAGATCCTAGGCAAATGTGAGTCCCTAGGTCCAGTACTCATCATGCTGCCCCCACAAGAAAAAGAGTTTTTTCTTTAAAGAAGACTGGGGAAATAGCTCAGCATTTCTAACATGCACGAAGCTCTGGGTTCAATCACCAGGGTAGCAAAACTAAATAAAGAAAAATAAAGAACCTAACCTTAGTTGTAAAGGGAAAATCCATAAATGGGTAGCCATGATCCCAGAGAGATTATAATGCAAAGCAGGATGAGGTGAGGACTATGTGAAAAGCCAAAGGCTGCAGAATGGAGAGCCACTGTCGACCTTCAAGAATGGAGAGGATTCTGAGGTGTGAACCGGGGGGGGCAGAAAGGCCACCTAAGGCTGAAGGACAGCATGGACAAAGTCACAAAAGAGGAAGAACATTCCAGGCATTTTACAGCATAGAGAACAGCTCAGAGGTTCTGAAATACGGAAAGAGAAAGACATATCGGTAGAAAGTAGAGTTAGAAAGGAAGATTAGGACCAGGAGAGAAAGCCTTGACTGTCACATGCAGAGGCTTAGTGTGGACGCAAAGGTGCTGGGGATGGAGGAAGAGAATGTCAAGCTCAGGTTATGTTTTGGAAAAGCTCCTTAGGTGCGTGCGCATAACAGAGGTTGAAAGAGAAAAAGGACAGATCAAGGGACCACTTAGGATGCTGTTTGAGTCACGTATAGGAAAATGGATGCCTCCCAAGATCGTAACATTAATTGAAATAAATCAGACACACAAGCTTCTGACCACATGGTTTCTCTTATATGAGGAACTCAAAATATAAATAAAGAGCAATATAAAAGATAAATAACAGAAAGTAGGGAGATAGATCTTTCTCAAATGGGGACCAAAAGATGGAGGGAGGGAAGAGGAAGGGGAGGAAAATGGCGGAAAAGAGGAATAAAGATGTGCTGTGCACACGTACCAACTCCACACGAGAAAGGTGAAACGTGTACTGAAAACATACTAGAAAAAATAAGTGACCAAATAAGTAAAATGAGTACACAACTAAAATAAAAGGAATGTCAAGGAAAGTAACCATCTGGTGATGGTAAAAAAAATGCATCAATTGGAAGGAAGGCAGAGTTGTGGAAGGAAAGTGCACAAGAGCCATTTACACAAAGTCACTAATGAGTTTAACTTCAGAGAACACTTTTCTGAAGTCTGGAAAGATGATTGCGGTCCAACAAGTCTTCCTCTTCTTGCTAACTGGGGACTGCGCTTGGGACCTTGTGCTTGCAAGGCAGGTGGCAGAACCACTGAGCTAAATCCCCGGCCCTTCTTCAATAGCTGTTAATTCAAAATGTAACATATTTTTATTTCCTCCGAATTATTCTACCATAACTTAGTGCCTTATAGTAACTTTATCTCCTGACCTATTACTCATAGATTTGTATACATGTGTGTGTGTGTGTGTGCGTGAATAACAATAGCCACCATAGCCACTAACATGTGATGAACCCTCTCTGTGAACCAGGCACTATGCTGTGCCTTTCATGGACACTGGCACATGTAAGCCTCCATATGAGCCCTCAGTTTATATGTGCAGTTACTGAGGTAAGCTGCTACCTGCCCTGATGAACACTACCCAGAGGAGCAGAGATTTGAATTCAGACAGGCCTGACTCCAGAACCTGTCCCTTTAGCTACTCAGCTATACTTCGTTTTTCTTTCCAGGAATCATATACATGTTAAAGTACAACGCCACAATAGAACAAAGAAAGACCACACGCGACGAACAGAAACAAACAGCAAGATGATAAACTTAAAATCAAAACATATCAATAATCACATTAAATATAAATTGCTAGAATCCAAATTATTAGATAGAGATTGTCTAATTGGACAGACAGAAATACCAAGCAAATTCTTGCACAGTGAAGTCTGCCCCACCCCACTGTCTTTCCCCTCACTCCTATTCACTGTTCTGTTCCCACCCCTACCTCCCTGTATCTTACTCTTCTACACAGTCTGGCTATGAGGACACAGTGCCCTTGGCAGGTCTATTACTGCATATTGTTGCAAAAGGGTTTGCTATAAAGAATTCATCCTCTCTTTCCTCTAAGAGTTTAAGTGTCATGTGGACTGACGGTCATAAACACATTTACTCTGCACTTCCCATTTCCCATTATACTGCTTTGTTGCACAAAGACAGGCTAAGAAGAAATTCAGAGAGGCTTGAGAAATGACTATCTTTCAGAAAAATGTACGATTTTTGTCCTTGAGCATAATATCAATATGTAAAGTTGAAAGGTTTCTTTCCTTGGAAAAGTCCACATTATCCTAGTATCTTCTGTTTTGTTTTGTTTTTGGTACCAGGGATTGAACTTGGGACCTTGTGAGGCAAGCGGTGGAAACACTGAGCTAAGTCTCTAGCCCTATCCTAGTATCTTCTGGTTCATAAATATTTTTACAATCAGTTTTCTTTATTTTATCTTTCAGAAGTACTGATTATAACAACGCACCAGCCTGAAACAGACTTCTACCGTATTCAGTAGCAAGGAATTTAGAAAAAGAACCAGAAACACCCATCATCCAAGGTGTGTGGCAAGATACCTGTCATCTTGCTCAAAGAATGGCCACATTCACCAAAATACAGAACCACCTTCTAAATCCATACGCTTTTCCAAGCTCAAGAATTTGGCTCTAAGCAACCTTCTCCCCTAAATCTTTTTACCTTTCCTTTAACAAAGTGAAGTTTTAGAAGTTCCCTAATTTGGGGTTCTTAAAAACACAGGGAAAAGTAGGGCCACTGATATTCATCTTCCCTCAGAAATGTACATTTAAGAGGCAGAAGCAAGCAGTAACTGCTCCCTTTAAAGTAAGTTTTGGTTCCAGCCTTTATGGCTTCCCAAACCCGAAGTTTCTGCTAACATTACTATTTCACTGAGTGCTGCCTTCTAGATCGCCTTGCTAGAAGAACTCACTGAACACAAACACCCAAATGATAGGAGCAGCATGCAGTGCATCTTGTCCTTACCAGGTTTGTGAAGGGCTTCCTGAAAGCTCCATCCCTGGTGATCTGGGCCAGCAAGACCTGTCTGAGAAGACAAGGTATCAGTCACTGCAAGTGAGTGCTTACGTAGAACTAGTAAGAGAAACGTTTTTATTTCCCATAAGGCAGCTTTAAAGATGCAGCTCCATTAAACTAAGGGTCCCTTAACCCCTACTCTAAAGGGGAAGAGGTTAAGTGTACTGGTGCTATTTGTATGGCCCTCATCTCACCCAGAATTAAGTTAAGGTCCCCTCCTAAGGGCAATTAAAAGCAAAGTCTCAACACTTTTTGCTTCACTCATTTCTTCCTCTGTACGAGTTAACCTAGCCCTCTCTTAAATTAATTATAGTCGAGAGCAGAAAAACAGCCATATGCTGCTTTCTTACCTTTACTTAATTTTTATCCTTAAGAAACAAGAAAACTTTATAGGAAGGTATTAATGTACTTAACATTTCTAAGTACATCATCCAAAGGATTTTGTTTTTTTAATCTTACATATGCTCAGCAGAGTTACTGGCAAAAACTGTACATTTTCTTCATTTCATCCTTTCAACATCAAATAGTAGACAGCAAAAATTGGATCAGACTTCAAAGCCTGCTGTGGGCTCCAAGTCACAGAGAGACGCCTCCATTTCACATATTGAATTCGAGCAGGATATCAAAGTGCTACCAAACAACCTCGGGTCCTTACTCAGAAAGAGGCTCTACCATCTGCGGAGTGGAGTGCACCCACAGATCACCTCAGGGAGCGGTGAGCATTTATTCTCAGCAGCGAATTTCCAGGCTTTTGATTCTCCTCTTTACTGTACCTCCCTGGCTCTCTACTAAACCAGAGTTCTTTAGCAGGCTGGGCTTTTGTCTCAAAGACTTCAAAATATCACTAACAGCTTCATGTTTGGATGGCCAGGCCATGTGGCCACAGACAGACAGGCTCTGCACCGTGACTTGGCCGATTCTGAAGGCAGAATGCGTGGGTTCTTAATCTTCAGAATAAGATGCTCAGCTACCTTATTTGTATGTCCCGCGAAGGCATCACACCCTCTCGGAGAAGTCTGGACTTGTAAATGCCTAAAAAAGTAATAATAATTGTTATTGTTTTGTTTTGGTTTGAGTACCAAGGATCGAACTCGGATCCTTCCACTGGCGAGGCAGGCAGCAGAACCACTGAGCTAAATCCCCAGCCCAATAATAATTTTTAAAGGACTTTAAAATGAAAACCAAAAACAAAAATTTAAAGAGGATTGTTTTCCTCCAAAGAACTGTCAGAATATACTTTCAGCTTTCTTTGTTTCCAAGTCAATGCTTGGTCTCAAGGCCACTGTCACCATAAACAAATGCACATCCTGGTCACTGTTTCTCCTCCACGTTACAACACATCCACAGTGTGCCTGAGGTCCTAGGGCCCAGCAAACTGACTGTAAAGTTATGGGATTAAGTGTGAGGTAGTGGGCATTATCAGACCTCTACAAACTTTCCTGAGGACAAAAATGTTAATGGTGAGACTAAGGTCTCTTCCAGTGCTACATTAGTCATCTTATTGTTTACTTACACTGACAAATTCATTTCACTGTTTGTGAGTCATTTGTGGATATTGCCTTCAAAATGTATCTACATATAGATTATAAGAAATGTACCTAATAAAATACCATATCAATATATGGGAGGAAAGGACTATGATGAGACATATGTTTGTGTGCATATTTATCTTCTCTCCCACAATGGAAATTAAGCTCCATAAATCAGGGACTGGGGTTGCTTTATTTCACATTCTGTATCAGTATCTAGCCCAGCACCTGGTAGTGAGTAAGTGCTAATAAATATTAGCTTCAGGGGACCCCTGAGATATGAGGTCATCCTTAAGAATACCTTTAAAATTAAAATTAACTGGTAGTAATGTAGCCCCTCATATTTTTTAAAATGCTTGTAAGTATCTAGTGAGAGCCTCACACCATTTCAGCCAAGCACTTTAACCATTACACAGATGAAGAACTGAAGTTCATTTGGAGAGGTTAAGGGATTTTCCCAGGTATCATGATGAATACCAGGTAGCGGTAAGACACTGACCTACATTCTTCTGGCTCCAAGTCCTCTGAATATGATGCCCCCAGAGATGTTCCTCAGTCTGGGCATCAACCCAAGGGACTCACTTTTGTCCAGCTTAGGCAATTCCCAGGGACTACAGGACACATACAGGACAGGTACATTTCAAGCTCTACTGGGAGGGCTGGTAAGCTTTGGGGACAATCCAAGGAAGAGAGTTTGGCTCATTTACTGCCCACTCTACAAATTCTACCTTTTCTGTCCCCTAAAAGAAATTCAAACCTCTCCAGTACTCTACTTCAAGACCCAAAGACCAGTTGAGACAACTTCCAACTCTTCCTGTAGAATGTCTCAACCATCTGTCTTTCTCCTCATTTAAGCCTTTGGAAGAGTGTGAGGCCGCTCAAGGTAATGTTCATATATATTGCTTGGTTCACAGCAGGCTGTACCATGGTGGTAAGGGAATAGTGCCCATAAGCAAACAGATTAGAAAATATTTGATTACACTAAGTTAAGCAGGCTTCTTTCCTGCGACACTTTCTAGAACCATGATAAAACAATAAAAATCCAAGAGAGGAAAAGAACGGGAAACTATTCCTAGACATTAACAGCAGCCCCTTCTCCTGTGCAGTACCCTGAAGGACTCTTGGTTCTTAGAACACCTTGGAAAACACTGACCTGAGCAGGTCTTTTCAGAACAAATTTCAATATGCTTTAAAAATTAGTACAGTCAATTTTCATCAAAAGTATAACTGCCTCAAATTCCTTTTCAGTGATTTCGTTAGGCTATTCCACTACGCATACACACATGAGAATGTTAGCAAGTGGATAATGCTCTGCAATCCATCACCAACAAAATAGGAGAAGCACAATTATAACAAAAAGCTCATGCTCACTGCATGCATACACGCCACCAGGCACCAGGCAGAAAGTATGTGCATAGTTACCCCTTGTAACACAGCCAACAGGATGTGGATTGACTCTGGATTTGTTGCTGTTTTACTTTTTTTGGTAGGCAGTCTACCAGTGAGCTGCATTCCCAGCTTCTTCTCCCCCTTTCTTGAGACAAGGTCTCATTAAAGTCTGGACCTTAGTGGGACTGGACCTTGCAATCCTGTTGCTTCCACCACCAAAAGTGCCAGGATTACGGGTGTGCACCCCCATGTCCAGCTGACTGATTCTGTTTTTTTGACTTTTTTTTTAACAAATGAGGGAGTTAAGGATCAAGAAGCTAATGATTTGCCTTGTACCATCACTGGCAAGCAGCACATCGAAAGACCTGCTCACTCTGGAAAAGGAAATGCTAAAGAGAAATTATGGATTCAGGCAAGGATTTTCAATTGCTGACAAAGCCATTAGATAAATGGTTGATGGGGTTTAGGACCATATGGTGCCAAAGCACTACCATCCAGGTGCTTGCTTTCAGGACACAAGAGGAACAATGCACACGGGAGAAATCAGAAGGTCACCATTTTAATCCCATGCTGAGTCTCAGCACCACTAACACCAAGACAACATTGTCTCGGGAGGCAAGACAACATGAAGTACTCAACATCACTATTTTTTTTCCTTTCAGTCAAAACATTTAACCTGAATCTAATTGAGACTTTAGATCTATCTTATGGTTTACACAAAATGCGGGGCATAGAAGGACACAAGGAAGCCAGGGAGGTAATTTAGGGGATAAGTTGCCCAATCTCTTAAAAAGTCAGTGTCATGAAAACCATAACTATGCTTTGATGTTAGACAAAATTGGGAAATTACTCACTGTTAAAGTGCGACAGTCTTTGTAAATAGGGGAGGGTGGAGGGGATGAAGGGAGGGAGGGAACGGGTATGGGGAAAAAATGAGAACCGAGACCTGTCATGTAAAGGTAGAAGATCCCAATGTTGAATGTAACTGTACTGTATACCTAAAAAGTACCAATAAACTCAATAAAAAAGAAAAAATATAAAGTGTAGTAGTATTTTTCAACTTCCTGGAAGCTTAAAAATAAGTGTCCTCTGTCTCTATTAGGAATCACACGCAAGGGGCAGAAGCAGCGAATCCAGTCATCAAAGGGTTGTGAACAGGACCTAGTTCCAGGGCTCCCTAGCCTCTCAGAAGCGTAACTAAAGTCTCAAGCAGATCGCCTCCAGGGTTCAGCTGCTCTGCTCAAGTCAGTGCACTCAACTGTGCATTGTAAGGGAAAAGGAAACTCACTGGTGAGAAGCCTTCTGCTGGGCATCTGCCCTGAAAAAGCCCCCAAAGGGAACTCACATCTAATTCTCTCTTAACCCCACACCCCTTGTGACCGGATGAGAGTCAGGGAGCCGGCTGGCTCCTGGGTAGGTGGCTGGTGGAAAGGCGCAGTCTCTCACTTCCTCTACAGCAAAGATCATGAGGCCAGCTGGCTCTGTCATGCTGGGCTGGCGACACTAGGTGAAGGCACCGTGGTCCAGGGACTGGGACTCAGCTTCGCGGGCTCCAAAATTAAATTTGTCAGTTCATCGAGGGATGATGGCTTGGGGGTGAGCTGAGCTGTACTAAGCAAACACAGAAGAGCTACACTGTAAAAGTAGAATGCCACTGTGTGGTTTTGCAAGTAGCATGATCTGGATTGTACTTGTTCCCTCACTGGTTGGTTTTCATATATTCTGGAAAGCAAATTACACAGCAGAATTAGAGCCAGCAAGAAAAGTGCTCTTTGAGGATGTATTTGATTCATCAAGGTTTTCTGGTACCTGGCTTTTTTCCCCACTTCGGTGTTAGAATCAGTAACTTTTTTCCTAGTTGGTCATGGAGGCCCCAGCTACTCACTGGTGCTCCATTTTCTTAGCTTCCTTAAATTACATTTTCTGTGTACTTTTTAAAATTAATTTTACATTTCTTAAGATTATGTTTTATCTTTTATCAATTACAATGGCTTCTAGATAAGCTGAGAAATCCATTAGTGCTTCACAGTTGAAAGCATATCCTGATTTCAAAACAAGATAGGTTGCAGCTCATTCACCGTGGGTTGATTTTTCTTAGATTCCCGCTGTCTCTAAATTTGGGAGAGTATTTCTTAATGCAAACTCACGTCTCACTCAGTGCCCTGAAAAAAAGGCTAATCAGTATGACTATGCAAATTTGTTCCTGCCTCTTTGATACCCTTGAATAATAATCTGTGCATGGAGCTCTTACTAAGAGGTCCATTTCTTGCTCCCAAGAAGCAGCAGCTAGGCCACCACACAGAAGATAAACTGGATCAGGATATTTGAACAGAGTAAGGCCCTGGGGCCTTGAGGGAGGCAAGTTTCAGATAGGCAAGTCATATAAATTTCCTTATGGACATTATTACCAGGTGACATGAGAGAAAACACAAATAACTCCAGATTCGGTTCAATGCATTTACACCCTAACAGTAAATAACGACATTTAAGAAATGACATCAAGAAAGAGGACACTATCCTTTGTTAAGATCCCCTGCTATGCACTAACAGAATTTCCATGTGAAATTGACCATAGGTGGAGCCATAAATCCAATATAGAATTTGAACTTTCTGGACCAGGGATTTAGCTCAATGGCACGGTGCCTGCCTCCCAAGTTCAAGGTCCTGTGTTCTATCCCCGGTATGAGGGGTAGTGGGGTGAAGGGGTTTTTGAACTTTCTAAAGGCTGCAGGTACAAAGGGGAACACCACCAGACCTGGATCCTCAGCACTGTCCCTGGTTTGCCTCAGTGCACATTCTTCTTACTGCATCTATTTATTTAAATAGCTTTGAAGACACAGGGAAGTGGAGGGTATTCAGATAGTTTCAGAAGACTGAAAACTATCACATTAATTCTAAGACACCTGAAATTGTATATGTTACTGAGTCTTTTTTACCAAAATCAGAAAGCTACGATTTCTAGACACACACACACACACACAGAGCATCTCTCTTGGGTTGTACCCATGTTTCCAGACCTCTAAATGCTGCCCACCTGGCCATGCCACTTTACCCATTAGCTCACGGCCAGCTCTTCTGAAAGCCTCTCAGGCCCCACCCCAGCCCACCTCTCCC